AAAGCCAAAGCAAGTACATGTACCACAGTTGGTCGCTTTTAAGCACAAGGGGGCTATCCCGAAAAATTCTGTTTTGAGTAAATCAAAGGTAAAGTTTTTGCCCCCAGTTCAGTTTCTTTAAAAGACAAAGAGAGTTTTCTCAATAACCAAACAACTATACACACCCAATGAAACCAAACTACTCCTATAGGTAGGACAAAACCCACTTTTGGTGTAGGTCAAGATTTTTGGAAACACCCGAAATCTGGATTAGCCAGCTTGTCCTTAAAAGTGACCACTTCGCTATCGCAAGGACATTACAACACATGGATCCCGTATAATACATAACCTCCTTGGTCATGGGTAACCAACTCTTTTAGTTTAGTTTTAGTAGAGGTTTTACGGCGCTCGCAACTGCATAAGGTCAAATAAGCGAAGGAAGATTAGAGGTGTATTAGGGGATTAGACTGTATCAATTTCACCTTGATAGTGTTCGCAATAACAGATAAAAACACCGTCCATTTGCATCGTAATATAACACATAAACAAAGTTTTAAAAAAAAGACATCATACAACCTAACAGGGGTAAAAATAAATCGATAAAAAGTGACGCGCAAACTTGCCCTAAATTCCTAACATGCAAAGATACATATTATTATCACATTCTAGTCTCGTTAGTGTGTGCGTGTGTGTGTGTGTGTGTGTGTGTGTGTGTGTGTGTGTGTGTGTGTGTGTGTGTGTGTAATAGGGATCTCTCTAGAGTGGTATAAACTGTTCAAAATACGACAAACATTGGTGGGGACATTTCAAAATAGAGCGACATACATCGTTTTATCAACTCATACCGTGTCACTGATGCTGAAAATATTAGAGTCCAAAAGGATCAGGTATTTGGACGGGCCAGGAGGGTACATGGTGAAAGTGTAGAGTGTGGGTATGTATGTGTGTGTGTGTGTGTGTGTGTGTGTGTGTGTGTGTGTAAGATATATTATGTTTCCCTTCGTCACAAACCTCATCCCACCTCCTCTCTATCCCCTCCTCTTTCCTTGTCTGTCTGTCTGTCTGTCTGTCACTCACACAAGAAACTCTCTCTCTCTCTCTCTCTCTCTCTCTCTCTCTCTC